CTGCCAAAGTGTTTTCCAGAGTGGCTGTTCCATTTTATATTTGCACCAGTAATATATAAAAGACAAGTTTTTCCATATTCTTGCCAAGATTTTTATACTGTCACTATAGAACAGAGGTATGCAGGGGCGCCTGGGTGGCTTAGTCGGTTAAGCGTCCGACTTTCGCTTAGGTCATGATCTCGCGGTTCGTGGGTTCATGCCCCGCATCGGGCTCTGTGCCGACTGCCAGCTCGGAGCCTGGAGCCTGTTTCAGTCTGTGGCTCCCTCTCTCTCTGACCCTCCCCTGCTCACGCGCTCTCTCTCTCTCTCTCATAGAAATAAATTAAAAAAAATATATTAAAAAAAAAAAAAAAAAGAACAGAGGTATGCAGTGATATCTCATCGTGGTCTTAATTGGCATTTCCCTAATGACTGATTATGTTGAATAACTTTTTATGTGCTTATTTGCTATCTGTGTATCTTCTTTGGTAAAATGTCTCTTCATGTCTTATGCCCATTTTCTAACTGGATTACCTATTAAATTTTTAGAGTTCTTCATATATTCTACACGTGAGTCCTTTGTGTAGGATATGTGCTTTGGAAATATTTTTCTTCCTAGTTTGTAGTTTGTTTTTCATCCTCTTAACAGGGTCTTTCACAAAGAGAGAGTTTTTAAATTTGATGATATCTTGTCTATCAATATTTCTTTTTTAAAAAATTTAATGTTTATTTTGAGAGAGAGAGAGTGAGAGATAGAACACAGCAGGGGAAAGACAGAGAGAGAGGGAAACACAGAAGCTGAAGCAGGCTCCAGGCTCTGAGCTGTCAGCACCAAAGCCCGATGCGGGGCCTGAACCCATGAACCATGAGATCATGACCTGAGCCGGAGTAGGATGTTCAGCTGACTGAGCCACCAAGGCGCCCCTATCAGTATTTCTTTTATGAATCATACTTTTGATGTATCATGAACTTTGTTTTTAAGTGTCCTATATTTATATACAATTAGTGATTGGATCCCAGATTAAGGTAGGCATTTTTTGGTTTCGTTTTGGAGTGTTTTTATGAAGTGAATACCCTAGGATATGTTGTCAGAACACTTGAGGATAGTCTTGCCTCTGTTAATTACTGATAGAGGTGACAGAATGAAGTACCAAAGATCTCAGACTCCAGGGCCAGAGTGCCAGATCTTCAGTCCCAGCTCCACCGTGTATGAAACGTATGCACTTACCTAGGTTGCTTAACTGCTCAGTGCTTCTGTTTTATCTGTAAACTGGGGATAATAATAATAATAATAATGAAATTGCAATAATGTTAATTGCAACATTGGTTGTTATGAAGATAGAAGAGTTCACACATGTCAAGTGCTTAGAACAGTGCCTGGTAAATAATAAGCACTTAGTAACTGTTAACAATAATATTACAACTACCAACTATGTGGCTTGGGAAAACCCTAAGGTTTCCTGGGTTTCAATTGCTTTAACTCTAAAATGGGGATAATATTTGCTGCTCCATCTAAGTTATAAGACACATGTGAGGATAAAATAATATTTTACTGTGAGGGGCACCTGGGTGGCTCAGTTAAGTGTCCAACTTCTGCTGAGGTCATGATCTCACAGTTCGTGGTTTTCAGCTCTGCATTGGGCTCTGTGCTGACAGCTCAGAGCCTGGATCCTGCTTCAGATTCTGTGTCTCCCTTTCTCTCTGCCCCTCTCCTGCTCATGCTAGCGCGCGCGCTCTCTCTCTCTCTCTCTCTCTTTCAAGAATAAATAAGACATTAAAGAAATTTAAAAAGTTTCAATCTGGCTTTCTGTATTTAAAAAAAAAAAGATTTTACTGTGAAAGTACTATATAAAGAACCCATAAAAAGTTTTTCTCTTGGGGTGCCTGGGTGGCTTAGTCGCTTGAGCGTCTGACTTCGGCTCAGGTCATGATCTTACAGTTTGTGAGTTTGAGCCCTGTGTCGGGCTCTGTGCTGACAGCTAGCTCAGAGCCTGGAGTCTGCTTCAGATTCTGTGTCTCCCTCTCTCTCTCTGACCCTCCCCTGCTCACGCTGTCTCTCTCTCTCTCTCTTTCTTAGAAATAAAATTTTTTTAAAAATTTTCTCTTATCGATTATTATTATCATTAATATAAATATGCTATCTATCTGTAGATTAAAGTGACCATCCCTGAATCAAGTGTTCTCAAAGTTAAGAGAATAGGTGAATCATTAGGATGTGGGGAGGAAATATTTGATGTTTTTTGTTTAAATCTATCTGTCCTTCGTTTTTACTTTTGCATATATTTAATAACTTATCTGATATAGTAACATAGTAATAGTTGCATATGATTTATAAGTAATAATCCTACCTGTTTGTAGGTACATAGAATTTTTTTACTGAAGGAATACATAATCAAAGTTTGAAGACCTATTGACTTAAAGAAATACTTGATATGGGCATCTTCATACAGTATGTTAATAGGCTTTCTTGACAGCATGCATCCTCAAGTGCCTTACATTTTTGTACTCTGATTTTGTATTAGGGAAGGGAATTACCTTAAGGAAATGATCAGAGGTAAGCAGAAAGAGCTACGTTTAAGAATATTCATTACAGGAGTGCCTGAGTGGCTCAGTACGTTGAGTGTCTGACTTGATTTCTGCTCAGGTCATGATCTCACAGTTCATGAGATTGAGCCCTGCATTGGGATTTGCACTGACAGTGCGGGACCTGCTTGGGATTCTCTCTCTCTGTGTCTCTCCACCCCTCCCCAGTTTGCACTCTCTAAACAAACAAACAAACATAAAAAAAGGATATTCATTGCAACATCATAGTAGAAGTCAGAAGTAACCTATATGTTCATCAAGGCAATGTTTAAATAAACTGATATATTTATAGGCTCCAGCCTCTATTCCACAGCTCAGTAAACTATAATAAAGTTTTGAGGTTAGGAATTACTTTTAAGAAGATTTCATGAAGAAACATTCCCAGTATAATGTTAGGTGAAAAATTAAAATATAAGGAGATACCAATATAGGTATGTAGATATGCAGAATAACCCTAATTGTAGTAAAGGACACATACACAAGACTGGGAAGAAATGTGTTACTATGCTAAAAGCAGTTGTCTTTGAGTAGTGGGATTAAGCATATTTTTAGTGTCTTCACACTTTTCTATATTTTCCAGTTTTTCTGCGTGTGTTAGTTGTATACTTAGAAAGACGTTTTCCTTTTGAGGAAAAAAAAATACCATAAGCCATACTTGTTATTCTTAGGCTTCAGATTTTCATTAATTGAATAACTTTCCTGGGGTGTAAGTCATAAGATTGGGAAGGACTTTAGTTAGTTGTCATGGCCAATTCTGATAGAATCTCATGGATGAATTTCAGACAGATTAATTCATTTTTCAATATTAAAGTGTTTTGGGTTTTTTTTGGACAATGTTAACAATTTCAGCTTCTGTAATCTTTTTCAGATTTCCACAGGATGTAGGTAACTGCTAGTTATCACTATTTTGCTAATAAGCATAACTATATATCAATTTAACCAACAATTATTTATTGGACACTGGGGAGGTAGTATGGGGCATATATTCCTGAAATCTATTCTTGAGTCTCAGCCCTCACAGAGATTCCCCTTTAGTGAGGGAAATAGGACTAGTCCTGATCAAATGTTGAATGATACTCAGCAGTATTTGATAAATGTCAATTTCTGTGGTATTGACCACTCTTGTAATTTTAAATATTATCCTTTCTTTCAGCCTTAGCAACTAAAATTCTTCAAAGTTCTTTGTTGAGCCCATTCTCAAAATTTAGCTTCTTGGTGCTAAATTTGATAAAACCAGGAAGACTTGATGTTTATGAACATTGCCTTGAATCAGAGGTTCTCAAACTTGGCTATATGCCAGAAGTTTCTGAGGAGTTCTGAAAAAATAGAGGTGCCCGGGTCCTACCCCCAGATATTCTGATTTAACTAGTCTTGGAGTAGCAGAGAGAAGAAACGGAGAGTAGGACTTTAAAGATATCCCTGTGTAATTCTAAAGTGTAGATAGTATTGAGTATCACAGCCCTTAAATTAAAAATGGGCTCAATGAAGAACTTTTGAGGAAACTGGAATTACCAAGACTGAAAGAAAGGATGAAGACTAAACACTTACTGAAAAGAGCATTTCTTCTGGAATGGTGACATAAGCCTGGGTATGAAAAAGCAGCATTTGAGCTATTTTCCAAGCTCTGGCAGAACCCCCTTCAGTGACCTGTGTCCCACCAAGAAGCCAGGGGCATTGGGGCAACTTTACCATGAATGCTGACCCTTAGCTCTTTCCCTGGCATGCAGGGTCTCTTCCTACCAAAGCCTTAATCTGTCTGTAATATTGCAGGGATCCATGCCTCTTCTGTTTCCTCTATAGTAGTAATAATAGTTACCATTTATTTAGCTTCTATTATCTACCAGATATTTTCATCCATTTTCTCTGATCCTTACCAGAGCCTTGAAAGAGTTGTTTTGCAGATAGAGAAACAGGCTCAGACAGGTCTAGTTTTTGATCTAAAGTCACATAGAAATGTCAGCTCTTGGATTCAAAGCCTACTCAGCCTGACTCCAGTGTTTTGTCTATGACATCCTGGTGCCTGCCTTCCTGTTGCCCATCACATGTCTTTTGGGCTCTGGTGGCCTACATCTAGGTCTTTCACTTTTCTTACTCCAGTGTCTGATTATGCAGATGCGTGCCTAAATAGACCAGTGTCTTATGGAAGGCTGTGTTTTACCTTTTAAAAATTCTCCTTCCACGGGGCACCTGGGTGGCTCAGTTGGTTGAGTGGTTGACTTCGGCTCAGGTCATGATCTCGTGGTTCATGGGTTTGAGCCCTGCATTGGGCTCTGTGCTAATAGCCAGCTCAGAGCCTGGAGCCTGTTTCGGATTCTGTGTCTCCCTCTCTCTCTGGCCCTCCCCTGCTCACGTTGTCTCTTTCTGTCTCTCTTTCAGAAATAAATAAAACATTAAAAAAATTTTTTTTAATTAAAAAAAAATAAAAATTCTCTTTTCAGGGAATGCTGTGAGGAGCTCCGTGTTCATTTGTTTTGTGTCCATCAGAAGAAGGTGTGTGAGGAACGGAAAGCACAGATAGCTTTTAATGAGGAACTGAAAAGACAGAAACTGATAGAAGAGCAGATGTTCTCAAAGCTCTGGGAGGAAGACCGATTAGCCAAGGAAAAGCGAGAAGCCGAAGAGGCAAGGAGGCAGAAAGAGCTGGTGGAGAACACACGCCTGGGGCTGGATGCCCAGATCACCAGCATCAAGGCGCAAAGGCGGGCTGCGCAGCAACTAAAGGAAGAGGAGGCACGCTTTGTGGTGGGCCTTTTACAGTGTTTGTCACGGGATGATTCACTCAGTGGGTGTAGTGCACGGTTTGCAGGCCCATGACATGCAGTTTGCCCAGTGGCCTGGCTGCTTCACAGGGCAGCAGACCATGATTAGAGCCTGGGATTCCAAGCCTGTTAACAGTGCTGTCCCATTGCATAGGGCAAGTGACTTCACTAGTGTGGCTTGGGTTCTTTATCTAAAAATATGTGGCAGGAACGCCTGGGTAGCTCAGTTGATTAAGTGTCCAACTTCAGCTCAGATCATGATCTCCTAGTTCATGAGTTCGAGCCCTGCCTTAGGCTTGCTGCTGTCAGTGCAGAGCTTGCTTCTGATCCTCTGTCCCTTTCTCTCTGCCCCTTCCCTGCTAGCATACACACACACTCTCTCAAAAATAACCATTAAAAAATTAAAAATTAAAAAATTTAAAATGAGGCAAAAGCCTTTGTCTTTGTTATGAGGATGAAATGTGATAAAAATGGGCAGTGCCATAGAGGGCTAGTGGCAGTTTGGCAACATTCCCCCATTCTTTGATATGGTTAACCGATAGTCCCCATGTCCTATGTAAAGCACTATACAATAGCTACAGAGGCTCCTTCCACCCCAGCCACCAAAGTCAGTAATCTCAAAAGGTCACTGCCCCTACTGTATAGAAATTAGAGAGGCGCCTGGGTGGTTCAGTCAGTTGAGTGTCAGACTTCGCCTCAGGTCATGATCTCATGGTCCATGAGTTCAAGCCCCACATGGGACTCTGTGCTGACACCTCAGAGCCTGGAGCCTGGTTTGGATTCTGAATCTCCCTCTCTGTCTGCCCCTGCCATGCTCATGCTCTGTCTCTGTCTCTCTCAAAAAGAAAAAAAAAAAAAGAGAGAGAGGTGTCACTGAAAATATATGAAAACATTAAAAAAGTAGCAATTTTATATGTATATAGAACTTCTAGCAACTGATACTTTAATACCACCAAATTTAGGAAGAAGGTATATTTTCCTGGGAAATCCCAAGTACTGAGATTTGGAACCATAAGAAATGTTAAAGGTAAGCTTTTTCAGAGCCCCTAAAAACCTTTCCTGGGTTTGAGACTGTTTTCTTTTGGAGAGTTTAATGGAAGATATCTAAATATTTTAGCTTCTCTAAGAAAATTGAAACTGTGTTCTAAGATATCAACAAATTAGGAATAGAAGGAGGTATCTCGACATATGACAATATATGACAAGCCCATAGCTAACATCACACTCAATGGTGAAAGCTTTGAAGCTTTTTCTATAAAATCAGGAAAAAAACAAGGGTACCCACATCACCACTCCTGTGCAACATAGTACTGGAAGTCCTTAACAGAGCACTTCAGAATTGGGAAGGAAGCAATAAAATGGTCTCTGTTGCAGATGATAAAGTTTTATATAGAAAAAATTCTAAAGACTTTACCCCAAAGCTGTTAGGTCTAATCAATAAATTCAGTAAAGTCTCAGGATAAAAAATAAACATGCAAAAATAAGTTGCACTTGAAAAAACAAAACAGGAAATTAGTATTGGTATAATACCTTCATTTAAAGTTATTATTTATTTAAACATAGTAAAACCTTTGGCTTTCACCAGTTTCTACATGCACTCTTTGGGGGAAGGGGTATGGTTCTATGAAATTTTATCACATGTATAGATTTTTGTAAATACTACCCAAATCAGGATACAGAACTGTTCCACCAGTCAAAGAAACTTTTTTTTAAGTTTTATTTATTTTGAGAGAGAGTACATGTGCAAGTTGGGGGAGGAGCAGAGAGATACTGGGGGAGGGGCAAAGAGGGAGAGAGAGAATCATAAGCAGGTTGCTTACTGTCAGCACAGAGCCCAATGCGGGGCTCCAGCTCACAAACCTCAAGATCATGACCTGAGCCAAAATCAAGAGTTGGATGCTTAACCGACTGAGCCACCCAAGTGCCCCTCAGAGAAACTCCTTTAAAGTTACTCCTTTATAGTCATAACCTCTCTTGACCCTAACTCCTGGCAGCCACTGATATATTCTTTATCTTTATCATTTTGTAATTTTGAGAATGTTATATAAATTCCACCCCTTTTAATGTTTAAATGAACATTTTCAAATGCACAGAAGTCAAGAGTACAATGAACCCTCATCTACCCATCTCCCTGTTTCAGCAGCTTTGTAATTTGGTCACATTGGTTTCTTCTACCTCCCCCAACCCCACTCTGTTTTTATGTTTTAAAACATAAATCCCAGGCAGGTCATTTTCCCCTTAAATATGTATCAAGTGTGCATTTCAACAAAGGGCATTGTCATACCTAAAAAAATTAACTGTGATTCCTTTTTATGATCTATAATCAGCATCTGATTTCCATCATGGTCTAAATTATTTGATATTTAGATCAGAATCTCTTTAGAAAGAGTAATTGTTTCTTATTCAAACCAGGGTGCATTTGAGATGGAAAAGCAATAAATGCATCACATCTGCACAATAGGTGCACCATCAGAACCACCCCGGTGAAACCAAGACGTGGTAAATTGTTTTAGATCTCTTAGTCTTGAACAGTTTTCTCCTGTCCCATCCCATTTCCCCCATATCTTAGAGTCTGGATTTGGCTAATTGCTTCCTCCTCGTGTAATCAGGCTTACTGTTTAAAAAAAAAAAAAAAAAAGTGTGTCCCACTATTGCATTGGCTTTCATGTTTGATAGCCATTGCTTTTCCTTAGGTGCTGCAGCTCATTTTCACATTTTCGTTTGACCCTCACAGTTTGGGGCTATCTGTTCATGGCATTACCGGGAAAGTCTAGCCTATAACTCTCTCTCACAAACCAGGGATCATGGCGATCATGGCTGTTTTGAGTCTCGGTTAAATCACATTGGGAATTGCACACTATCGTATGGCCACGTCATCTCTTGTTCTAGCTGAGCGAGTACTTATCTATCCCTCTAGGACCGCTCAGCTGCCTCTGGCAGAAGGGCTGATGCTTCAGTTTTTACCACACCTAGACGTTCTACCAAACCCGTGATGCCCAACAGCCTTGGTGCCCAGTTAAAACTGCTTGAATTGGCCAGGCAATTAAGCCCAGAGGGTTAGAAAGATAAGAAAATAAGAGGAATGGGGAGAATACTTTTAAAGGACAAAATGCATACAGTTTAATTTATATATATTAAGCTGATGTGCACGTTTCTATTTTTGAGCTCCTATTGCTGTTTAATAATAGATCCATATCTAGATGTTGCAGGTATACAAAGAAAAGTCTAGAAAGCCAATACACTGAAATGTTGAGTGTGGTAGTGGGGGAGGGGTACAAGGTTAAAAGTGATTTCTCTATATTTTTCTGCATTTTAAACCCTATAACTGTTTATTATTTTATAATCACATACAACACAAAGCCTTATTGCTGACTCAGAGATGAAAAGGCAAGTTTTCTATCTTACAGTTCTTCTAAATTCCAAGAAACCCTTGATTTTCATCTCTTAAGTGAAATGCGTGCAAGTATTTGTTTTGTCCAACTGTACCAATACATTGTCTTCATTATTGTTTTACCTTAGGAAAATGACAAAGCACAGGTGAAACTTGAGAATGAACAGGATAAGCTAAAGAAATGGAAGACAAAACAGGAACTTAGGGCTGCTCTGCAAAAAGCCCTCCTAGAGAAGACAGAGCATATTCAGCAGGAATGCAGAGAAGAGCAGGACTTGAACATGAAGCTCCTGCAGAGGGCCCTTCAAGACTTACAGGATGAAGCTGATAAAAAGAAGCAAAAAAAGGTAAGATATTTATTCAGTGCCTACTATGTGCTGGATGAGATTCCTTGCTGAGCTTTCAGTCTTACAGAAGCCAGCCACAGGTAGAATGAAGCATAACCATGCTACTTTTTTTTTTTTTAATGTTTATTTATTTATGAGAGAGACAGACAGAGTGTGAGTGGGGAAGGGGTAGAGAGAGAGGAGACACAGAATCTGAAGCGGGCTCCAGGCTCTGAGCTGTCAGCACAGCTGAGCTCGAACTCCTGAACTGTGAGATCATGACCTGAGCTGAAGTCAGATGCTCAACCGACTGAAGTACCCATGCACCAACCATGCTACTTTTAAGTGTGGTCCATAAACTTAACAGCATCAGCATCATCTGAGAGGTTGTTAGAAAGAGAAATTGATAGGCTCCAGGATTAGAATCTCCAAATTGAAATCTTGGCAGGGGCAAGAAATCTGTTTTAACAAGCCCCCGCCAGGGGATTCTGATGCTCACTGAATTTAGAGAACTCCTATAACGTGGTGCTGGCAGGATGAGAGTGAAGGAAATGAATGACGTGCTGGGAAGCTGGGGAGGACATCACTGAGAAAGTGGCCTTCAAGGGACCTCAAAAGATATGTAGAGTTTGGTTGGGCAGAGAGCAGAGAAAAGCATTCCAGTATGTATTCAGCTGTCTGTTTCTTTGAAATTTGTATTGAACCCTCGAGGTGTTGTACTTTTCCTATAGGTACTATTTTTTTGTTCCTTTAAAAAATTTTTAATTTTAGTTTTAGGTTCAGAGCAAAATTGAGCAGAAGATGCAGAAATTTCCCATGTACTCTCTTCTCCCACACAGGTACAGCCTCCCATATCATTATCCCTCAACCAGAAGAGTATGTTTGTTATCATCAATGAACCTATATCGACCTATCATTGTCCCCCAAAGTCCGTAGTTTACATTAAAGTTTACTCTTTGTGTTGTATGTTCTGCGGGTGTGAACAAATGAGGACATGTATTTACCACAAAAGTATCATGCAGAGTAATTTCACTAGCCTTCAAATCCTCTGTGCTTCCCCTGTTCATTCCTCTCCTGACTGCAAACCCTTGGAAACTACTGATCTTTGTACTGCCTCCACAGTTTTGCCTTTTCCAGAATGTCATAAGGTTGGAATCACATAGTACATTGCCTTTTTAGATTTGCTTATTTCACCACGTAATAGGCATTTAAGTTTCCTCCATATTTTTTCATGGCTCAATAGCTCATTTCCTTTTAGGTCTGAATAACATTCCATTGTGTGGACGTACCACAGTTTTTCCAGCCACCTGCTGAAGATATCCTTGGTTTCCAAGTTTTACTGATTGTGACTAAAGCTGCTGTTGTACATGCTTGTTTGCAGGTTTTTGTATGGCTGTAAGTTTTCAACTCATTTGGGTAAACCAAGGAGCATAGTTACTGGGTCATATGGTAGAAGTATGTTTAGTTTTGTAAGAAACTGCCAAATTGTCTTCCAAAGTGGCTGTACCATTTTGTATGTCCACGTTGTTCAGGGTCAACTATACACGCTAGAGGTCTGGCTCAGGGCGGAGCTGCAAGTATGAGCTCCACTGCTAGTTGAGCGGATCTCAGTGAGCTCCAGTGGGTCAGTAGGGGTGCACCTTGCAGAGGAATGCGGGGTGTCCACTGAGCTTAGAATCACTGTGACTTGGGCTTGGGCTTCTGTGTCTAATAGAGCCAGGAATGTGTGATGTGGACCCAGTGGACCACCAGAGTTGTAAGTGGGTGATTGTGCAGGTGGGATGAGCTCTGAGTAGCTGCCAAGTCTGTAGTGTAATTCTCTGGAAGACTGCCGAGCCTGCAGGCCAGGGGAGTTGTTTGGGAGAGAGAGGGCCTTGGGACTCTCAGAAGGCCTCTGAGCCATTAGGATGGGTCTCTGTAGTGAGGCAGTCACTTGTTTTAAAGACAGGAGCTTACTTCACGGTTGTCGCAATATAAGATCACTGGGGATCCCCAGTTGGTAGAGCTGCCAGTACAAGGCCCCCTGCTATTTGAAATGTCCTAGACGTTGTTTCCTAATAGCTTTGGCATGAGAGCTCCAGGACCAGGAGGCAGGAAGGGGGTTGCAGGGCCTGGCACCTGAAGGCTGGCCTTGGGACTCTGTGCTGCCTTGGTACTGTAAAATCTGATAGTCTGGATAAGCGTCTCTTTCACAATGTGGCTATCAAGTCTGCTCCTTCCAGTGACTCCTGAATAGTATGGGAGGTCCCTATAAAGTGGAGGAGCATGGTCTTGTACTTTTGGAGGAGGCCTCCTTATAAAAAGAATACTCTGGATTTGGGGGTAATTGGGGCCTCTTCATGATTGGAGATGAAATCTGGGTGATCTGGGTTGCTGTGTTTAGAGAAGTGATAGACCTGTTGGATCATACCAGTCTTACCAAGGAGTCAGGCCTCATCTAGTGTGTTCCACTGGCTTTGAGCCTTTGTGGTAATAAGTACAATAGAAGGGTGAGGTCAGCTCCATGCCATAAAAATCCAAGCAAGCAAAGAAAGGGATTCTTCCTTGATCTTTAGAGCTGGTGCCTTTGGGTTTGGACTCTCTCATCATTGGAATTCTTGATTATGGTGTTTCCTTTTTTTCCACGTGGAAGCCTAGATGGACCCTGCAGTTGGGTATTTCCCTTCTCCCAGGTCAGTTAAGCTGGGATCAAACCCCAGCAGATTAGGCTCTGGTAAAATAATTTCTCCTGGAGCAAACCTCAGAATAGAATGCTCTGGTGAATTTCAAAATGATTCCTTTTCTCCTCCCTCTGCGAGAAACATGGGAGGCTTTTTCTCTGATTTTCACTATGAGAACCTGGTAGAGCTTTGGGTGGTGAAACTCAGGAAAGTGTGGACTCCCGCACTCCTCAATGATGGGCCCCCTTAGTGTTCTTAGGTGTCCGCACTGAGCCTCCAGCAGTGCATCAGTTACAGGTTTTCCTACCCCAGCACTGGTTCCCACAGAAGTGGCTGCTCAGGGGTTTCTGCTGTGGTCAGTTGTGATTCTCTGTATTTACCTTTCTCTCCAATTGGGGGGCAGTGGTTTGCCCTGTGACCTTGCTTCTCTTATGGATCTAAGGTTAGTTCTTGATTTTTTAAGTTTGTTAGCTTTTTCCTTGATGTTAGGACAACAGAGTGGCAACTGCTAAGCTCCTTACATGCCAGACTGAATACCAGAAGTCTGCTACTATTTTTTAAATTATACTTTTTTATTTGGGGATAATTTTAGATTCACATGCAGTTGAAAGAAATAATGCAGAGAGATGCCACATACCCTTTATTCAGTGTCTCTCAATGATGCCTTGCAAAACTATAGTCTAGTATCACAGCCAGGATAGTGACACTGAACTGTCAGGATATGGAGCATCCCCATCACCACAAGGGGTCCTTGTGTTTCCCTTTTATCTGTTCTCCATTTCCCTAATGTTGTCATTTCAAGAGTGTTATGTAAATGGAATCATATAGTATGTAACCTTTTGGGATTGACATTTTCTTTCAGCTTAACTTTGGAGATTCATCCAGGTTGTTGCAAGTATCAGTGGTGTGTTTATTTTTTATTGTTGAGGAGTATTTGTGCTATGATTACACCGCAGTCTGTTTTTACCCTTTACCTGTTAAAGGTCATCTGGGTTGTTTCCAGCTCATGGCTATTATGAGTAAAGCTGCTATAATCATTCAGGTACAGGTTTTTGTGTGAGCACAAATTTTTGTTTCTCTGGGAAAAATGCCCTGAAGGGCAGTTGTGCCCGATGCTGGGCTCAAACTCATGAACTTCAAAATCATGACCTGAGCTGAAGTCAGCTGTTTACCTGACTGAGCCACCCAGGCGCCCCAGCATGTTTAGTTTTTGTTTTTTTTTTTAATGTTTGTTTTTCTTCCATAGCAGATTATGTTTTTTAATAGTTTATTGTCAAGTTGGTTTTCATATAACACCCAGTGCTCATCCCCACAAGTGCCCTCCTCCCTGCCCCTCACTCCCCTTCCCCTCCCCCTGACACCATCTGCCCTGTTTGTTCTCTGCATTCAAGAGTCTCTCATGATTTGCCTCCTTCCCTCTCCCCAACTATTTTTCAACTTCTCACCCATGGTCCTCCGTTAAGTTACTCCTAATCCTCCTATACATGCAAACATAAGATATATGTCCTTCTCTGCCTGACTAATTTCACTCAGCATAACACCCTCAAGATCCATCCATGTTGCTACACATGGCCAGATTTCATTGTTTCTCATTGCCATGTAGTATTCCATTGTATAGATAAACCACATCCTCTTGATCCATTCATCAGTTGATGGCCACTTAGGCTCTTTCCATGTTTTGGCTATTGTTGAGAGTGCTGCTATGAACATTGGGGTATATGTGCTCCTCTGCATCAGCTCTCCTATATCCCTTGGGTAAATTTCTTTAGTTTTTTAAGAAACTGTCAAACTGTTTTTCAGAGTAGCTTTACCATCCCACAAATATTGTGCATTCCTACCAACAGTGAATGAATGATTCAGTTTCTCTATATCGTCACCAACATTTGGTGGTGCTATTGTTTTTTTACTTTAGCTATACTGTAGTATAGTAATATATACTACATAATAAATTAGATATACTACATCTAATAAATTAGATATATAGTGATATCTCATTGCTTTTATATTTCCATAATAACTGTGATGTCAATCAACTTTTCACGTGCTCATTTGCCATCTGTATATCCTCTTCAGTGATGAGTTTTCTCATATTTCTTGCCCCTTTTCTAATTGGATTATTTGATTGATTGATTGATTGATTTTGCTCTTGAATTTTTGTTCTCCATTCGATCTCCATAGATCATTTTATTCTGTTTTTTAACACCTTCATTAAGGTAATTAATATACAATTTACCCATATAAAACATACATTTCAGTGGTTTTTGGTATATTCACAGATATGTACAACCGTTCCCACAGGCAATTTTAGAATTTTTTATTATCTCACTATTCCCTCTTCCCCACTCTGTACCCCCATTCCTAAGCAACTACTAATATATTTTCTGTCTCTATAGATTTGTTATTCTGGACTTTAATATGAGTAGAATTACATATTCTGTGACTTTTTGACTGGCATCTTCCATTTAGCATGTTTCAAGGTTTATCCATGTTGTAACATGTATGAGTACTTAATCCTTTTATATGGCTGAATAGTACTCCATTGTATGGATATACCACATTTCGTTTATCCATTTGTCAGTCTATGGACATTTGATTTGTTTGCAGTTTTGGGCTATTATGAATAATGCTACTGTGAGTATTCTTATGTAAATTTTTGTTTGGACATAGGTTTTTTGGGGGGTTTTTGTTGTTTTTCTCTTGGGTTATATACCTAGGAGTAGAATTAATGAGTCCTAGGGTAACTTTATGTTTAAGTTTTTGAGTACTTGCCAAATTGTTTTCCAAAGTGGGCTTTATCATTTTGCATTCTCACTAGCAGTGTAAGAATTCTGGTTTTGATTTCTCCACATGCTTGTTAACACTTGTTATTATCTGTCTTTTTTTTCAGTTTTAACCATCTAGTGTGTCTGAAGTGATCTGGTATTGTGGCTTTGAGTTGCATTTCTCTAATGACCAATGATGTTCAGCCTCTTTTTCTGTGCTTATTGACCATTTGTATATCTTCCTGGAGAAATCTGTTTGAATCCATTTGAAATTTCAAGAAAACAATTCCAGTCATTTCCCCAATTTTTAATTGGGTTATTTGTCTTTATTATTGAGTTTTAATTGTTCTTTATATGTTCTAGATACAGGTCCCTCACACATAAATTATATATATATATATATTTTATTCTGTGGGTTGTCGTTTCACTTTCTTGATGGTAACCCTTGAAGTCCATCTATATTTTGTTTTGTTGCTTGTGCCTTTGGTGTCCTATCTAAAAATCTGTTCCTACCCCAAGGTCAAGAAGACGGAGGTTCTATGTTTTCTTTTTAAGAGTTTTATACGTTTAGCTCTCAAAATGGCCTTTGATCCATTTTGAGTTAAATTTTGTATATGGTGTGAGGCAGAGGTCCAACTTTATTCCTTTGCATGTAGATATACAATTGTTCTAGCACCATTTGTTGAAGAGACTATTCTTCCCCTATTGAACTGTCTTGGTACACTTGTCAAAATCAATTGACAATGAATGTGAGGGTTTATCTCTGAACTCTAAGTTCTATTCCTAATCTATGTGTCCATCCTTATGCCAATATCACACATCTATTTGTCTTGATCACTGTAGCTTTTGTGGTAAGTTTGAGATCAGTAAATGTGAATCTTCCAACTTTGTTCTTTTTCAAATTGTTTTGGTTTTTCTGGGTCTCTTGCATGTCCGTAGGAATTTAGAATCAGCTTGTTGATTTCTGAGTAGAATCTATTTGGGATTTTGATAGGGATTATTTTGAATCTGTAGACCAAATGTAGACAGTTTCCATTTTAACAATATTGCCTTCTGATCCATGAATGTAGGATATCTTTCCACTTATTATTTTGGTGTCTTAGTTTTCAGAGTATAAGTATTGTACTTCTTTTGTTAAATTTATTCCCAAGTATGAGAGGATGAATGCAAGCCATTCTGAGGGTACAGTTCATACCTTGCTAGTCCTCCCTCAGATCTGTGATATTCTCAAAAGAGATCAAACCAGAGACTGGATGACACAGCACAAATATAATACCATGAACAACAGAGAAGCTGACTAAAAATGCTAGCATTAGAAAGCCTAGTTCGCAGCCTTAGCTGCACATTAAAATCACTTTGGGAACTTGAAGGCTGTTCATTAGACAGGAATCTGTCAGGGTAAGATTCAGTTCTTGGTACTTTTTAAAGCTCCCAGATGATTCCAAAGCATAGCTCAGACTGAGAATGTCTGCTACAAAGCATCAAGTGACTCAGCTTTTAGTCAGAGACCATGCCATCATAGTAGTAATGGCTTACTTTGTTTATCAGCTTACAGTTTCATAATCTACCTAAATGAAAAGCTGTATAATTGAAAATTATCTGGGAACTGCTTTGAAAAAGACTTTGGGAATGTGTTTGAAGTAACTTATTTAAAAGTGTATTTTAGGGGCTCCTGGGTGGCTTAGTCGGTTAAGCGTCCGACTTTCGCTTGGGTCATGATCTCACGGTTCGTGGGTTCGAGCCCCGCGTCAGGCTCTGTGCTGACTGCCAGCTCAGAGCCTGGAGCCTGTTTCAGTCTGTGACTCCCTCTCTCTCTGACCCTCCCCTGCTCACGCTGTCTCTCTCTCTCTCTCTCCCAGAAATAAATAAAACATTAAAAAAAAAAAGTGTATTTTAAAGCACCGGTACAAAGAATAGTATAATAAAACTCTAATGTGTCCTTTTACTTCCTTCAATAACCACCACCTACCGGCCATTCTATATTTCATCTGTGCCCCACCCATTCCCTACCACCATCTCTAGATATTTTGAAATGAACCCTCGACATAATATTTCATCTCTAAATGTGTCAGTATGTAGTTCTAAAAGATTGGGATTGTAGTTTTAAAAGATTGGTTTAAAACTTAATCCTTGGGGCGCCTGGGTGGCTTAGTCGGTTAAGCGTCCAACTTTCGCTTAGGTCATGATCTCGCGGTTCGTGGGTTCGAGCCCCGCGTCGGGCTCTGTGCTGACTGCCAGCTCAGAGCCTGGAGCCTGTTTCAGAGTCTGTCACTCCCTCTCTCTCTGACCCTCCCCTGCTCACGCTGTCTCTTTCTCTCTCCTAGAAATAAATAAAACATTAAAAAAAATAAATAAATAAAATAAAACTTAATCCTCATACCATATCGCACCTACATGTTTAACAATGTGAGGTATTCTCTCTGTTGTATAGGAAGAGATGGCAAGAGAACAGGAGATATATCGTCAGTATTTGGCACAGCGGCGTGAGGAGGAAAGAGCTCAGGAGAAACAATTGGACAGAATATTAGAGGCAGAGAAGGAAAAGAAGTTGGCTGAGAAGGACAAGGAGCTAAGACTTGAAAAGGAGGCAAGGAGACAACTTGTGAATGAGGTCATGTGTACAAGAAAACTTCAAGTTCAAGAAAAATGTAAGGAAATGAATTAGTATTATAGTTGGGCCTTAATTCAACTTAATGGCAGCCAAAATATTTACTAAGCAGGTATTATATGTAAAATGATATGAGGGATATAAGAAGGATTAAGACCCCTGGCTTGGAGAACTTACCTAATTTAGTACATGGAATATAAACATATGAAGAGTTTTATATCCTAGCAGATTCTGAGCAGTCACATAGGAGATATTTCAAGGTTAAAGGAGCAGTATGTCTGTTGGTCTGTGTGCCTGAGTGATTATAAAGGAGAGTGAGGAGGTAGGGCACAGCACACATACATACTACTCCTCCCTTTTATCTGGCCCTCTTTTCTGTCTGCAGGTGTCTCTGTACCTTCATACCTGTAGACCTTTACTTGAGTAGAATTCCCTCCCTATATGATGCTTTTGATCTTGAGAAATCCTGGAGATCCTTCAAGGCCAGCTCAAATGTCTCATTCCACAAATATGTCCCCTTATTCATAATAAATCCTCTTTCTGGGGCTCTCCCTGTGGCTTGCTCAATCTCTGCCTTAGCATACCTCTGTATGCCCTCAGCTCCAAACAGTGCTTGGTCACAAAAGGAAATATCTCTTGAGAGGGTGAACTGCCACCTCCAGGTTTCCATCATTCCATGTCCAGCCCAATGAACCGGAGAAGCAGTAGATGGAGACATTTACCATTGGGTACCATTAGACTCCACACTGGTTGTCTTTGCAGGAGAAAGCTCATCTTGGTTCCACTGATTCTCCACTCCAAGAATTATAACAGCTGTTGAAAATTATTAAGCCCATGTTGGGTGGAGTTGTAAGAAAATTAGAAGAAAGCTTATAAGCTAAAAAGATTTCTGTATTTACCCATGATAAATGTTTTAAAAGCTATTGAGGCTACAGGGAAAGTTTGGGGCCATTTTTAAACAAAATCAACCATAATTCTACTACCCAGTAATAGCTACTATTCACAACTTCGTGTATTTCCTTCCAGTATTTTTACTATGTATATAATTTCCTCTCACAAATTAGGATCATGTTAAATACATTGTTTTAGAGCCAGCCTTTTCCACCTATTTTTCCAGGTCATATTTCTTCAACTACAAAATTTGTAATGCTGCCTAGAAATCTGTTATAAAAATGGATAATTTATTTTACCTAAACACAATCAATGGACCTTCAGATTGTCTTGAATCTTTTTACTACTACTTTAGCATTGCAGTTTACTGTCTCTGTATGTAGTTCTTTTTGGCTCATATATGATTATTTAAGATAAGTTCCTGTAAATGGACTTTAGGACCAAAGATACATACATTTCAGATGTATATTTCTCAGTTGTATTTATTCTTTTGTGAATGTTTTCTTTGTTGTTTTTTCCCCTTACTGGATGCTTAATTTTTTAAAATTTAATTTGCAAAAACCTTATAAATTATATACTAAGGCTTTTTCCAATATTTTGTCATAAACTCTCTTATTAACATAAATGACAATAGAACTGTTTGTCCTCAAGAAGAAAAGGGTGAGAAGTGTTCTGACAGTGGCAACCTGGCTTGAAAAGGCTGATCAAAGATTTGCAATGAAAAACGTTAAAAAAAATCTGTGTAGATCACAGCACATTCAAACCTAAATCCTCTTGTTCCTGTGATGGAGAGGATGACTTCTACCTTACTGACCTAAGATGCAGTCAGTGATTGTAGGCTCTGCCTCTCTAAAGGGAGGATGGCATTGATGCCCAGAGGGATGGCAGCAAGTCTTGTCTGAAGAAGGTCGTTTAGCAAAAATTGCTTTTGTCTTTCTCAGTGCAACGAAAGGCAAAAGAACAGGAAGAACGTGCTATGGAACAGGAACGTATAAATGAAGGTCTTGAAGAACTTAACCGTGAAGAGAAGGAGAATTTTGCAAGGTATGTTTTTGTTTGCTTTATTATTGTTTACTACCTAAAAAAAAAGGCAGATTTTTAACATAGAAAGAGGGCAATGTGACATTATTCATGCATTATTGACATTTTTTAACATCAGTATTACATTTGTCTTAAAAGCTCAAGTCAATTTACAAAATTTCATATAAAAATAAGCACCAACCATCTTGGTAAAATTAAATTGTCTTGCTATTGTATATATTGTGACTATAGACATTAAGTATTAAACTGGACAAACATCTTAAAAAATAAAATACATTAGAAACAATTTTTTAAAAATAGGCCCCAATATCAAATCCTAATGAAATAACAAGAAGACTGTCCTCCCCCATGAAAAAACCCTGAAACACAGTGTGGCTTGATTAGCTGGATTAGCAGAAATGGCAGGAGTTCATGCAAAATGTCCTCAGGAGAATTTTTGCAGCTTCACAGGTGGGAAAACAAATGTTCTAAGTGGTTTAGGAAACACCAATGCCCTCCTCTGCTAACTGTCCCTCTGATCACCACAATCAAGCTCTGGTGGCGGAAACAGGCAGAGGCCTCCTTGCAGCATTTCCTGGACCATCGCACTCCCTGCCCACTGATGACCGCGATACCCAACTCAGGCGACCAGTGTGGCGGAGGAAGACTTGGCTCTTCTACTTGCTGGTCACCCTTCCTGTCTCTTGTGCCTCTCCCTGACTTTCACACTCACCTGATGCATAGAAAAAAAAGCTCTTTTCATTCTAGAAAGACTATGGTTTATGCAGCTGAGCCTATTGTTAGTTTGGGGGCACTCGCTTTAATATCTGGCCTACCTTACTGACTCCCTGCTACTGCCTCTGCTCTGGAGGTCTTCTCAGTGTTAAAAAAAAGTTTATCATTGGAAATGTGAGGGAGACTTGACAAGTAGCAACTTTCTTCACTGCCCAACCTCTGAACCAACTGAGAGAGAAGAAAAAGAAGTGTGTGTGGAATCACAGCTACCTATTGGTGAATAACAAAATATCCCAAAATTTCTGGCTTAAAGTGAGTTATGATTATCTCTCATGATTCTCTGGTTAACAAGGCTCAGCTGAGTGGTTCTTGCTTAGGGTCCCTCCCGTGGTTCAAGTCAGATGTTGGCGGGCGCTGCCTTCATGTGAAGGCTCAACTGCCCTGATCTCCTCCGATACCTTCTCATATACTGGGCAGTGTATGCTGACTGTAGTTGGGGAACTCATCGGTACTACCACCCAGAGCACTTTCATGTGGCCTGTCCATGTGCTTGGGCTTCTCCCAGTATGGTGGTTGGTTCTGACAGGGAGAGTTCGGATAGTGAGCATTCCAGTGGGCAGGAGGGGAAGCTGCCAGGCCAGGTAAGGGCTACGCCTAGGACTGACATAGCATCACTTTTGTCCTATTCTACTGGTCATAAAAATAGTCCCTGGGCCTATCCAGATTCAAAGGTTGGAGACATAAGCCCCACCTGTTGATAAGGGGAATAGAGGTTCACATTTCAGGAGAGCAGATGGAGGGGAGATATTACTGTGGCCATCAGAAAATGGGATCTGCTACAGAGGCATATGCATCTTTATTTTATGATAAAAGCTTTATTTCTGATAAAAGCTGATAATAAAAAATGTGGCTTATAGATTGTAAAATGGCATGACTGCTATGGAAAACAGTATGAAGTCTCCTCAAAAAATTGAAAATAGAAATACCTTGTGATCCAACAATCTCACTTGTGGGTATATATCCAAAATAATTGAAAGCAGGACCTTGCAGAGCTACTTGCACAGCCATGTTTATAGCAGCACTGTTCACAATAGCCAGGAGGTGGGAATAACCCTAAGGTCCATTAACAGATGAATGGATAAACCAGATGTGATACATATATACATTGGAATATTATTCAGCCTTAAAATGGGAGAAAATCCTGTCAGATGCCACGGCATGGTTGAGAACCTTGAGGACACTATGCTAAGTTAAATAAGCTAGTCACCAAAAGACAAATACTATGATTTCCTTTATATGAGATATTTAGAGTATCCAAACTCTTAGACACAGCAAACAGAATGATGGTTGCCAGAGGCTGAGGGGAGGGGGAAAGGAAGAGCTATTATTTAATGGGTGTAGAGTTTCAGATGAAAACATCCCAGAGATCTGATTCACAACAATGTGAATGTACTTAACACGTCTGAACTATTACACTTAAAAATTGTTAAATGGTCAATTTTACATTCACACTATAAAATTTAAAATGTAGTTTATATGTTTAAAATGTGGCTTTTATATGGAGGAAATTGTCTAGTTAATACTGATCGGATTGAGGCACCTTTATGTACCCAGCCACCACCAGTGCCAGACCAGTGCAGGTCTCCAGCAGGTGCATGGCCCTTTGACAGACAGGGTGGAAAACAGGCAGGCTAGCTGTTCCAGTGTTACTATTAGGAAAGTCACTTCTTGGGGTGCCTGGGTGGCTCAGTCAATTAAGTGTCCAACTCTTTTTTTTTGTTTTTTGTTTTTTTTTTAATTTATTTCTAGTAGAGAGAGAGAGAGAGAGAGAGAGAGACATCATGAGCAGGGAGGGTCAGAGAGAGAGGGAGTCACAGACTGAAACAGGCTCCAGGCTCTGACCTGGCAGTCAGCACAGAGCCTGACGCGGGGCTTGAACCCACGAACCGCGAGATCATGACCTAAGCGAAAGTCGGACGCTTAACTGACTAAGCCACCCAGACGCCCCTTAAGCGTCCAACTCTTGATTTCGGCTCAAGTCATAATCTCATAGTTCGTGAGATGGAGTCCGGGTGTTGGGTTCCATGCTGACGGTGTGGAGCCTCCTTGGGATTCTCTCTTCTCTCTCTCTCTCTCTCTCTCTCTCTCTCTCTCTCTGCCTCTGTCTGTTTCTCTGTCTTTCTCTCTCTCAAAATAAATAAATAAACATTAAAAAAGAAAAGTCACTTCTTCCTTGGGGAAGAGTGGAAGAAGGGATGGAGAGTGGCCAGGGACTCACTCCAGATAGCAGGAAATATTCTGAGTGGGCCAAATCAATATTCTGTTTAGCTTAATTATTATTGTGTAATAAACACATTATTGAATTTTGCATCTATTTTCTTCCCCTCTCACCCTGATTTTAATTGGAATTTTAATTTGACTTCAAAAATTCTATTTTAATTGTAATGCCCTAAATGAATCCAAATGCTTACCTTTGTTAATTCTGTAATGTGACATTTCTAATATCTTAGACGCTCCAGTTTGGCCCGGGAATACAGGAAGCAACTTGAGATGCAGATGTCGTACCAGCAGCAGGCCCGGGAAGCAGAGAAGGAAGAGGAGCGCAGAGAGTTTGAAGCAGGAGTGGCAGCAAACAAGATTTGCCAGGACAAGATCTGGGAGATCCTGTCAGTCCATCCCGTGCTGTCCCGAAACACCCATCCCATGCGGAGGGCCTGCCCGGATCAGCTCCCACCGTAGTCTCACAAATGTTAATATATTTTTGCTCAGTCTTTTAATGTTTTTCACTACAGTATTTCAACTCACAAATAAACTTTCCTTTATTTCTCTGAGTCTGCATAATTCCACACAATGCTATTCCTTCAAATTAAACTTCATGCCTTTTTTTTTTTTTAGGCTTTATAGACTTACAGGTCTGAATGATCTATTTCATATCACACAGTTACTTTCCTGACTTATCCCCACCCCTCCATTTCTCGTTCATTTATTAATAGCTATGCTTTCTTTCCCCCATTTCCTCTTGCCTCTTTTCTCTTTTGTCTTATATACATAACTCACCATATTAACAGGGCGGAGCTGGGCCTAAGAGCCACTTTCATTAGCCCAGTTATTTAGATATTACACAAATATTTCCCTTCCATATGCCAGGCACTATTCTGGATCCCAGACTTTAGCAAGAACAGAACAAACCGCTTGCTTTTGTGGAGCTTACGTCCTGGTGGAAGAAATGAGGCGGTGTGTTAAGTGTTATAAAGCAGGAAATGTCAAGAGTGCTCAAAGATCAGTTTGAGTAGTTGATACTTGAATGAACCAACCATATGGTTATCTGAAGGAAAACATCCCAGGCAGAGGAAGGAGCCAGTGCAAGGGCCCAGGGGCAGAAGTCTGCTTAGTGCATTTGAGACCTAACATTTGTGCTAGAATGGAGTGAGTGAGGAGAGAGTGATAAGTGGTAGAAGACTAATCAGAAGGGCAGTGAGGGCCGGGTGATGTAAGGCCTTGGAACCATGGTAAAGACTGGCTTTTACTTGGAAAAGCATTTAATAGGGTTTTCAGCAGAAGAGTACATAAGATGTAAGAGAGTTGCTGGTTGCTGTGTTGAGAAGAGACGTTAGGCAAAATAGACAAGAACAGACTCAGTTAAGGAGTGATCACAATAACCCAGCACGGTAGCCAGCCTCCAGGATGACCCCTAATGATCCTCTCCCCTGTATTTCTGCCCCTGCGTAGTCTCCTTCCACCCTGAACCATGGCTACCCTGTGTGACAAATAGGGTACTTGGACCCTCTTGCAGACACAGTATTATAGGGTCTTCTAGAGAGTCTCCTTCAAAGGGAGAGGAAGGAAGTTTTGGGATGGCCGAGTAAGGAGCTCTGGAAAACCTCTCTCAAAATGACAATGATAGAATGGAAACCATCGTCAAAAACAGCATTTCAGGACTGGAAATTGACCAAAGGCATACAACAGATTGAGAAGCATTTATCCAAGCGAACCTACTGAGCCCTGGTAAGAATGGTGGGCGTCCATGGCATTTTGGCCTTGAGCCACTGCCATAACCCCTCAGGCACGTGAAGCAATAGTTGCACCAGGGCCACATGGCTTGTGAGGACCAGCCCCACTGCAGCTGCAGCTCATGTGATTGGGAGGAGGATTTGGAAAAATCCACACTTGGGGCATGGTAAAAATAGTGATTTTTTAAAAAAGTTTTTAGGGAGAGAGAGTGCAAGTGGGGGAGAGAGGCAGAGAGAGAGAGAAAATCTTAAGCAGGCTCCATGCTGTCAGCACAGAGCCTGATATAGGGCTCAATCCCATGGCCCTGGGATCATGACCTTAGCTGAAATGAGGAGTTGGATACTCAACAGACTGGGCCACCCAGGTGCCCCAAAATAATAGCAATTATAGTGGCAGTCAGGGAAGGCTCACATCACAGCTAAACTGAGGTTGTGATACTGATTGGGACAAGCAACAGACAGACCAGCCAGAAATTTACAGGAAGATTTGGGGAACATGCCAGCCATACTGACTTTGATGTTTGGATGGGCTTCCATATATTCTTGGGAGTCTGGAAGGCTGTGTAGGCATAAAGCTACATGCTTGCTCATGAAAGACCTGAGTAGGTCCGAGTAGTCTATGGATCCTTAGCCAAATGTAAGGCCTTGCACATACAGCAGGTAAAAGCTGGGGCAGATTTGCAAATGGCCTAAACTTTGAGTGTGTTCCCTAGCCCTTATCCAGATCCATCAGCAAAAGGTGGACACCTTATAAGCTTAATCACTCACTGAGCACTAAGCTATGGTGACCTAGGGCCACCCCTAGGAAGCCAGCCTTAAAAATAAAACAGGAATTTTAAAAATGAGCAGACATCAGTGTTATCTAGCCAGGTTGTATAAAAGTTCAAATGGAGTCTAGAATGTGTATGTAATTTGATTAACTATAGAGTGTTACACACATGTGGGTATTAGTATCAGACCCATCCCCCCCATTCAAGGTTCCCTCAATCTCTCATCTGTGGCCATCTTGCTCTCTTTGCACTCTTCCATTAAAATAGGGAGGTTCTTTATATCAGACTGAATCTATCTCCCCAAGGAAGTGTTTGCAAAACATATATCCAACAAAGAACTCATTTCCAGAATATATATAACAATTGCTACAATAAGAAAGAGATAAGTCAGTAGAAAAAATGGGCAAAAGACTTGTATTGACACTTCACAAAGAGAATTAAGAAAATGGGCAATAAACAGGGAGGTGCTCAATGTTATTACTCACCATGAAATTAAAACCACCGTGAATCTACACACTCAATGAAATGGGTAAAATGAAAATGACAGGCAAACAAGTATTGGAGAGAATATCGAGCAACCAGAACTCTCATACACTGGTGATGTTAAGAATATAAATTTTAGGGGTGCCGGGGTGGCTCAGTTGGTTAAGCGTCCAACTTCAGCTCAGGTCATGATCTCACGGTTCGTGGGTTCGAGCCCAGCATCAGGCTCTGTGCTGACAGCCAGCTGAGAGCCTGGAGCCTGTTTCAGATTCTGTGTCTCCCTCTCTCTCTGACCCTCCCTTGCTCATGCTGTCTCTCTCTCTCTCTCTCTCTCTCTCTCTCTTTCTCTCTGTGTCTCTCAGAAATAAAACATTTAAAAAAATTTTAAAAAAGAATATAAATTTTAAAAGGGTGCTTGAGTGGCTCAGTCGGCTAAGCGTCTGACTTCAGCTCAGGTCATGAACTCATGGTTCATGGATTTGAGCCCTGCATTGGGCTCTTGTGCTGGCAGCTCAGAGCCTGGACCCTGCTTTGGATTCTATGTCTCCCTCTCTCTGCCCCTTCCTCTGCTCATGCTCTGTCTCCCTCTCAAAAATAAACATTTAAAATATATATATAAATTTTAGGGGCACCTGGGGGGCTCAGCTGGTTGAGTGTCTGACTTGATTTCAGCTCAAGGCATGGTCTTGCAGTTAATGGGATCGAGCGCAGCATCAGGCTTTGCACTGACAGCACAGAGCCTTCTTGGGATTCTCTTTCTCTCTCTGCTCCCACTCTGCTTTCTCTCCCAAAATAAATAAACATTAAAAAAGAAAAAAGATTGTTCATAGCAGCACTATTCATAATAGCCCAAATTGGAAATAGCTCAAATGCCCGTCCAGAGTAGAATGGAAAACTATACACAATGACAATGAATGAACTTTGCTGCATGCAACGACATTGATGAGCATCATAGACCTAATGATGAGCAAAATAAGTCCTTATGAGAAGCTCAGAAGCAAGTGAATCTAAGTTTTGGTACTAGAAATTAGGTGATTATCCTTTTGGGGAGAGTGCCTGGAGAGGGACTACTGGGTATTAACGTTCTGTTTCTTGATTTTTGGGTGGTGGTTATTCAGTGTGTTCACCATAAGCAAGTTCTTCAAGCTGTACGTTTAGGATTTTTGCAGTTTTTGGGGAGCCTGGGTGGCTCAGTTGGTTGGGCGTCCGACTTCGGCTCAGGTCGTGTCATGATCTCACGGTTCGTGGGTTCGAGCCCCACGTCAGGCTCTGTGCTGACAGCTAGCTCAGAGCCTGGAGCCTGTTTCAGATTCTGTGTCTCCCTCTCTCTCTCTGATACTCCCCTGCTCATGCTGTCTCTCTCTCTCTCTCTCAGAAATAAATAAAACATTAAAAAAAATTTAAGATTTTTGCAGTTTCCTGTATATGTGCTGAGCTTCCATTAAGAGTTTAAAAGCGGTCATCCTTCCTGATATACCTACCATTGGTCATAGTGCTGGTTTCTGTATCTTTACAAACTGGGTCTAATATCTGGAGGCTCATGTCTCGCCATTCTCCAGGTAGACATCTCACATTGGTCCGAGCACTGCAGACCCTTCATCGTCGGCTTGCCCTCTAGTGGTCACTGGTCACATTTCCAGATTTATTTAAAACAGGATGTTCAGAACTAGATAAAATCAGTCCAGAAAAGGTCTGCAGAGCCCCATATAGAGGGACCATCACTTCCTTTAATCAGCACACTATACTTCATTTAATGAAGTCCACAGTTGAGTGCCCACCGTCCAGTCACAATTGAAAAAATGTGGGCACAATGATCTTGTCCTTGGCAGGCCCTCCCTGCTTGTTATAAACAAGACAATAAGAAGCTAGAAAGGGGAAAGGCTAGAGATTGAGTTGTATCTAAACCCTCGAATAACAATGTTTGATGTTCGAAGAGCTCCAGTTGGGAAACACAGGAGGGGCTGGGGTGGGGGTGGCACACCCTGAGAACGCATGGACGCTGTGTCTTCCTATGCTTTGCCCTACCCGGCTACTCTGGCCGTTCCTGAGATAAATCCTTTATAACAAACCAGCAAATGTAAATAGTGTTCCTGAGTTCTGTGAGCTGTTCTAGCCAATTATTAAAACTGAGAAGAGGGGGTTCTAGGAATTCACAATTTGTAGCCAGTTAGTCAGAGGTATAGGTGGCCCAGGACTTGTGATTGGCCTTGGAAATCGGGCAAAGGCAGTCCTGTGGGACTGAGCTTTTAATTTGTGGGGCCTGCACTAACTGCAGATAATTAGTGTCTGAACCGATTTGGATTGTTGAACTTTGGTGTCTGGGAGAATCACAGAGTTAGTCGTTGGTGGTTCGAACTCTGTCTGGATACAGAGTCTATGCTTTTAGTCTCTTTGATTCACCGCCTCCCCGCAAACAGGTCAAAATTGATGAATTATAGGCTTTTAGAGCATAAACATCTATCACAAATATTTTAGTTTATTTTGGAAATGATAAAGCAACCCCCCCCAATCTCCTATCTATGTGTTCAGCACTTTTTTCATATAACATCATGATTTGTTACCAAAATC